GGGCGGGATTCGCATGTTTAAAAAATGAATTCAGTTAAATGAATATAATGTTTGATATAGGGATTGACCGACTCCTCACATTGCATGTGGATCCCAAACTGAATTAAAAAAATGCACCTCCCCCATGTGTGTGTAGTATCATCCCTTATGTCAAGCATTATGTTTGTGTAGCAAAACTCTGACACTTTAAGCCATTGATTTTAGTTACACTTATTCAAATAAATGGAACAATTTTCACACATCACACAATATCATCCGAGAATGTATGACTAGCATAATTCAGTATTTGAGGGACCCTTTAATTTACGCGTACCTTAATTTTCTAATATATATATTTTTTCTTCAAAGTACAAAAATGAACACGCGTACAGGATCCATTCGTCTTTTCAAACTAATGGCTGGTTTTTGTCATTTATTTATTTAACAATTTTTACTGCCATCTTCCAAGAAGCTTAACGTCTAAGGTATTAATTTGACTTTGACTTGTTAACGAGCGTAGAAGAATGGATTTTTGTGACCTACACGGACTTGGAAACAAAACGATGATTTTAATGTTATTTTTATACATGAGAAATTCTTATTATCACATCCTACATATTGATTCAACCAAACTCATTGAAAACATCCGATCATTCAATCAAAACACCAAAATCCAACTTCCGCATAATCTGTCAGAGTTTTGAAGATCAAGGAAGGTGACTGAAGTTCTGGTTGAAATCTACAGAAGATAAACGATTTCAGAAGATCGGGAGTTGGATCAAGAGCGCGCAATCTAAGAGGGCCTTGTTGATTATAATCAGAAGGTCAGAAAGTACTAAAGTTTAGTCAGTTTGAACATTCTGTAAGTCTTTATTATTTATAGTGGATACTACCGACTTGGATCCGAAATTCAGTTTAAAGTGGTTGTATCTTGAAATTCAGTTTCGATTTTCACGTTGCAATCAAACAGTCAAAGTAAAATACGTCTTATTAGAACTAGTAAAAGTTGAACGTGCATTGCACGTTATTCTGAAATATTTTAGGAGCGTTGTAAAAGTAATATTTGATACCAATTTGTTAAAAGGATTTGATAAGTTTCAAACGAACTAAAGAAAATAAAATTAGGATTGAAATTTAAGAGAATAAAATTGTACTCTCAAAACTCAATTTCTATGATTCAAATTTGTTGTGGTGGTGACATACTACAAATGAACAATATTTTCATACTACATTTAGTACACAAGAATTAATTGTTAATACATGAATTTAAACAATCATTAAAATTCTCAGATACATGAATAGAAATAAATCAATCTATAATAACTCTATATTTATGTAAATTAAGATTCAACAAGTCAAAATTCATTAAGTTTATGTTAATTTAAATGTTAATTAATTGAGAATTAATAATACAAAATTCATACATGACACGAATTTTGTATTATTTATTATATATTGAAAAAGAAAAGTAAATTATTATTAAAATAATTGAATTGTAGTAGGATTAAAACCGTTCAAAAAATACTTCTCACTCTAGATTCATGTAGATTAAGATTCATCAAGTCAAGATTCATTGAGTCAAGATTAATTTAAATGTTAATTAATTGAGAATTAATAACACAAAATTTATACACGACACAAATTTTGTAGTATTTATTACATATTGAAAAACTAAAAGTAAATTATTATTAAAATAATTGGATTGTAGTAGAATTAAAATCGTCCAAAAAATGATTCTCACTCTAGATTCATGTAAATTAAGATTCATCAAGTCAAGATTCATTGAATTTAGATTAATTTAAATGTTAATTAATTGAGAATTAATAAAAAGAAATTCATACATGACACGAATTTTGTAGTATTTATTATATATTGAAAAAATGAAAAGTAAATTATTATTAAAATAATTGAATTGTAGTAGGATTAAAATCGTCCAAAAATGATTCTCATTTGATGTGATATTTAATATATTGTAGATAAGATATTTTTCATGAAATTCGTTTCAATCAAACGGCTTAATCTTTTTACTACAAAGCGACAAATACTTCTGGATGAAACTTAAATTATTAGGGATAACCTGTGGTGCGAATTCAGAGTTTATCCAATTGTTGACCCTTAAGGAATGATGTATTTTCGTTGAAAACGAAATCCATCCAATTACTTTGAAACAAATACATCTATAATATTTTTCTTAATTTCCATGTTTATCTCCATTTGAAACTTACCCACTCATCCACCCTGCCACGATATGATCAATTCCACACCCACCCCTCCCAATATGCCGACGATCATATATGAACATGTGATAAAATCGTCTATTTAATTATGACATCTCGAAGCACAAGTCACTCAAGTTTTACGAATAACTTGAATGCAGAGTAAGTCGACCAATTCAGTTGACGATTTTAGTGTGTGACTTGAGTAATTTGAAAATCCTTCACCTCCTGCATATAGTATTTCCACCATATAATTGAGCCCCAGCCTCACCCATTCTCTCTTTGGTTCTGTTTGTTTTGGATTAAAATCAAATTTTAATTTAAATTAAAGTCAAACAATTAATATTAATCACATTTTTATGGGTCATATAACTTTTTAACTATACATTTCAAAAATTTCTATCACAATCTACTAAAATTTTAATTTTAATCCTCATCAAATATCCACTAAATATGTATACATGGTACAAGTGGAGATTATACATACAAGATTCAAGAATGTAAAGGAGATATACGAGTGTCGACGCCTCCTCATTCCCACCAAAAACACAATCGTGTCTGTTTCTCCGAGATAACAACTTACAAACGTATGTTCCTGTCTTCTTACTCCAACTAGCTAGCTAGTACTCTCAATGACATCGCCACCGACTATTTTTCTCCACCCCTCTCTTTCTTTATTTCCTCATTGTCGTCTTCTTTAATCCCACTCTCTCTCTCTACCCACTTTTTTTTTTTTCAACCATAACTTCTTTATCTATCTAAATTTCCGGCACCGAATTTGGCCTAATCATCAATGGCCAAACTTGTGGTAGAAGTTCTTGATTCTAGCGATCTCATGCCTAAAGATGGCCATGGCTCTGCCAGTCCTTTTGTAGAAGTAGAATTTGAAGAACAGCGCCAAAAAACCACAACAAAGCCTAAAGATCTCAACCCTCAATGGAATGAAAAGCTTGTTTTCAATATAAAGAATCCCAGAGATATTTCTAATCAAACCATTGAAGTTTTAGTATACAATGATAATAAACAGGGCCATCATAAGAATTTTCTAGGCCGGGTTCGGATTTCCGGTGCGTCTGTTCCTTTTTCTGAGGCTGAAACCATGGTTCAAAGATACCCTCTTGATAAAAAGGGGTTTCTTTCTAACATAAAGGGTGATATTGCTATGAAAATCTATGCAGTGCACGGAAATATTGATGGATATCAGGCTCAGGCTGAGTTTTTGCAGCCACCGGAGGAAGTGCCAAATCCTTCTCATCATCATCATAAAGCAGAAACGGAAACTACTCCTTTACAGGAGATCAACACTAATAAGCTTGATGAAGAGTACTACTACAAGGAAAATCCTGAGAAGAGCAAGAAGAAAAAGAAAGAAAAGGAAGTGATGACCTTTTACTCTATTGGAACTGGTTCTGGTGGTGCAGCAGTCGCGCCGCCGCCTACTTCTCGGGCTGAAAAACCAGTTTCCATGGAAACCCGGACTGATTTTGCGAAGGCTGGACCGACCCCTGCGGCCACCGTTATGCAGATGCAATTTCCAGGGCAGAAACCTGACTATGGATTGGTAGAAACCAGGCCTCCTTTGGCTGCAAGAACGGGCTACTGGGGAAGGGACAAGACTGCGAGTACTTACGATTTGGTGGAGCAGATGAATTTTCTGTATGTGCATGTTGTCAAGGCCAAGGATCTTCCAGTGATGGACATATCAGGGAGTCTTGATCCATATGTTGAGGTGAAGGTTGGTAATTACAAAGGAGTGACTAAGCACATCGAGAAGAATCAGAATCCGGTATGGGATAAAGTTTTCGCGTTTTCCAAAGAGAGATTACAGTCCAATTTGATTGAAGTCACAGTGAAGGATAAGGATATTGGGAAGGATGATTTTGTGGGAAGAGTTCTGTTTGATACAGTAGAAGTTCCTGTTCATGTGCCACCGGACAGTCCATTGGCTCCTCAATGGTATAAATTGGAGAATAAGAAGGGGGAGAAAATTAGTCATGGGGTTGGGGAGATTATGCTTGCAGTTTGGATGGGAACACAAGCTGATGAGGCGTTCTCTGATGCTTGGCACTCTGATGCTCACAACGTTAGCCAACAAAACCTCGCCAGTACGCAATCAAAGGTGTATTTTTCGCCTAAATTATATTATCTCCGAGCGCATATTATCTCCGCACAAGATCTTGTTCCTTCAGACAGGGGACGACTACCGGATACATTTGTGAGGGTGCAGATAGGGCACCAGATTAGAACTACTAGGCCTTTTATGAAACACATCAATCCAGAGTGGAATGAGGAACTTATATTCGTAGTATCCGAGCCTTTTGATGAGTATATAAATTTTAGTGTCGATGACAGAATTGGACAAGGCAAGGATGAAGTACTTGGAAGACTGATCATACCAGTTAGGGAAGTTCCACAGAGAGCTGAAACCATTAAGCTTCCGGATCCGCGTTGGCATGCTCTTCACAAGCATGCTGTAGCAGAGGAAGAAGGGGAGAAGAAGAAAGAGTCGAAATTTGCAAGCAGAATTCTTCTCCGGCTCAGCATAGATGCCGGTTATCATGTTCTTGATGAGTCTACGCATTTTAGTAGCAATCTCCAGCCATCATCAAAGCATCTAAGGAAGGCCAGCATTGGACTTCTTGAAGTTGGAATTTTGAGTGCTCGCAATTTGCTGCCAATGAAGGCCAAAGACGGAAGAGCTACAGATACTTATTGTGTGGCCAAATATGGGAACAAATGGGTTCGAACTCGGACACTTCTTGACACGCTGAATCCTCGGTGGAATGAGCAGTATACTTGGGAGGTTTATGATCCATGTACTGTGATCACAATTGGTGTTTTCGACAATTGCCACATCAATGGAAAAGATGACGTTAAGGATCAGAGAGTAGGAAAGGTGAGAATTAGGCTTTCAACTTTAGAAACTGATAGGATTTATACACATTTTTATCCACTGCTGTTTTTTTCACCTTCGGGATTGAAGAAACATGGGGAACTCCATTTATCAATACGATTCTCCTGTTTTGCTTGGATGAACATGGTGACACAATACGGGAAACCATTGCTTCCGAAGATGCATTATGTTCAGCCCATATCGGTTAGGCACATTGATTGGCTCCGCCACCAGGCAATGCAGATAGTGGCTGCAAGGCTATCCAGGGCCGAGCCGCCACTCCGAAGGGAGATAGTGGAGTACATGTTGGATGTTGATTACCATATGTTTAGCCTCAGGAGGAGTAAAGCCAACTTCCATCGTATAATGTCGCTTCTTTCTGGGGTTTCATACGTCACTGGATGGTTAGATGGAATCTGTTACTGGAAAAACCCCTTGACCAGTATCCTCGTACACGTTTTGTTCTTGATATTGGTTTGCTTCCCGGAATTGATCTTGCCCACCATATTCCTCTATCTTTTTGTCATTGGCCTGTGGAACTACCGGTTCAGACCTAGGAATCCACCTCACATGGATGCTCGACTCTCTCAGGCAGAGAATGCTCATCCCGATGAATTGGATGAGGAATTCGATACATTTCCAACCTCTCGACCCTCAGACATTGTGAGGATGAGGTATGACAGACTACGAAGTGTTGCAGGCAGAGTTCAAACTGTGATGGCAGATTTGGCAACACAAGGGGAAAGAGCCGTTTCCATATTAAGCTGGAGAGATCCCAGGGCTACAGCTATTTTTATCATCTTTGCATTGATCTTGGCTATGTTTTTGTATGTAACCCCGTTCAAGGTCGTGGCAGTGCTGGCTGGGCTTTACTGGTTGCGCCATCCTCGGTTCAGGAGTAGGATGCCTTCTGTACCTGTCAACTTCTTCAAGAGATTACCATCCAAATCAGACATGCTTCTATGAGATTAACGTAGTTCAATCCCAATTTACTCATTCAGAGAACGCATTACGATAGCTTGGTACTATTTCTAATACTGTTGGCAGCAGAAGAAACAAAATTGAATTGTCAGTGCATTATTGCTTGCAACTTAAAGATTTACTACCAAGTAATAAAAAATTTTCTTCTATATGTTCTCCTTTAGGACACGTTTCAATTTTCCAATGAATTAGATGAGAGGAACTAAGCGTAAGCATTTCTATTTGTTTAGATGTAAATAAGGATTCATATGCCATGTTCAATAAATTCTTTCATTGACTTATGTTTGAAAACTTAGCACATAAACCCAATGGAAGACAATGATTACAACATAATTTTGAAAGTTTGAATTTCTATCACTAGTATGATTCAAAGGTCTAGGACTAAGAGCAAAATTAGGACCCAAAATGCAACAGCGTCACCCTAAAACCACAAGTTCATTTAGAAGACAAGCTTCTAGAGCCTAGGTACAAAAATAAAGCAATTATTGTCAATAAGTTCCCAAGAATTCCACCAAAAAGAGCTTTATCAACAGGACCCCAATTGCACCCATGATGAGAAGTTCCTGGATTTTCTTCATATTCCAAATCTGTTTCTTTTTCCATCTTTTTGTGAAAACTGTTCTTCCGCTTTCGAAGTAACCATCCAATGAGGTTTTGGCTACTATATTCACTTGGCCTTGGGACATTCCTGGGAACCGAAACAATCTTCTCCTCAGTATGTCCACAGCTACTTGTAAATTCTCAAGCACAGGGTTCTGGCTCTTTTGCACATGCACAGGTTTCACCCGAGTTTGAGAATGGTGAGTTTGTGTTAGCCTAACTCTTATTTGAAGTGCTACCTCTATTGAGAATCTCGATCACCTCTCCAAAAACTGACCATCTTCCAACAGACGTTATCTTCACTATGGTTGAAGTCCCCAACATGCTTTCCTGCCCAACTACCAGCACCTGAATGTATCCCTTTGAGTGGGCCACCTAAAGCAAGGGAAATATGTAATAGTGATATGGAGGCACTTAACAAAGAACATGATATCTGAAAACCATTTGCACGTTTTGATTGATGGGATGCTTGAATAGGTTTCTATGTTTCACAAAGTTATACCAAATTCATTCCAAATGTTGTATCAAAATACAACTCCACTTTTCTGTCGAAGTTATTAGTGCTGAATTCAAATATAACTAATTGCCGGTAATTGCACTATAGTTATTAGACTATTGTGACGGCTTAACAACCAAACTTAATATAGCACCACTGAAGGGTATTCATCAATTGGACTCCACTTGTGACTGATTGTGAGTGCCACATAAAAAATGAATAAGATTTCTACAAATTCACAGTATCAAACATCAGTGAGCCCCAAGGGCCAAGATGATCTTACCAAGTGAGTTCCGTCTGTGGCAATTTCTGTAATCCACATCCTCTCCACTTTACCTTCCATTCCAACATATGGGGTAAATGACTCGAATACACTAGTCAATTCACGACTACGTCTCTTCACTACAGTACTAGGAACCATTTTCATCCTTGCAGCTGGTGTTCCTGCATTGAGACAATAAAATATCCAAGAACTATGATGATTTGGCTAAGCAACTTCTAGACAAAGCACCAGATAGTTATAAAATAAGTATAATGTGGTCTAATTACACTTGCACATATTCATCCTGGCAAGTACACAATGAGGATTGACTACCTACTTCAAAATTTCATGAGGAAAAAAATCCACCAGTAAAGGAAGACGGTGATAACAGACAAAATGTGAAAGTGCCATTGCTTAAGTTACGTAGTATACGTGGGGCACTAAAAATTGAAAAAACTTCTTCTGTTTCTCACTTTTCTCTTTGGGGGCGAGGGGTTGGGAAAAGATTGTCGGGCTACATCCTGTTTTATAAGAAAATATTTCACTGAGTAATATATATATATTTTTTTCATAAGTTAATATTCCCCATAGTTAATTTATTATTTTTATGTAAAGGTGATTTTTTAGTTTGTCACTATCATGCTCAGAAAGGCAGAAAGATAGCACAAGATAGCTTGAACTTCCACAAATAAGGATCTGACTCAAGGGACAAAATCTGTAGGGACCTTTGAGAGGACACACAAGAAATTGTGAAATAAAGTTAAAAATGAAAAAGCTAGTATGAATTAGAACTACAGAAAGGTTCAACTTACCCGGCCGAGGATAGAATTGTGATATATGTGAACTTGGGAAAACTCATACTCCTGGATAAGGTTGACCATCTGTTGAAAATCTTCGTCAGTTTCACCTGAGAAGCAGAGTATTTTATACACACACAAACACTCATCACATTAACTACAGACTGACTATGGAGTGGTTAGTGCAACTTGCATAATTAATATTATTAGGAGCAACTCTCAAATTTGGGAAATATAAAATAAAAGAAATTAATTTTCGAAAAATATGAGAGAAAATTGTCCCATTGTAACATCATGTGAACATTACATTTATGCTCATCTTCCAGAAAGACAACTGATTTATTTAATCCAACAAATTCATCATATCCATGAATCAAATTATGGAAACTAGCAAATTACGATATCTCAAAACATTGAACTCAATCATATAGTCAGGATCTCAACATGGTCCTTAATCTTTTTATCATATTGGAGGGTCATGTTCTTTTTTAATTTTTCTTCAGTATGCTTCTCTGTTCGCAAACCTATATTTAACTCTTTCATGTGGTAAACAAAGGCTATAATCAATCATCTAAATTTTGATCTATTAAGCCAACACTGTTCAACGAAAACATAAACATCTATAATAGAAATTGAAGCATAGGAGCAAGTAAGAGAGAGTAGAAGGAAACCTAAAATTGTAGAACATATCAGTAAATCCACAAATTATATCAGTTGCTATCTGCATTCCAGGACCAGTTCAGTTAAAGTATCGACCACTGTCCTAAACTTGCCCACTGTGTACTACGGGTTCGTTGCCTGTAAATCGATTGCAATGGGAAAAATGGCAACATTTTAAAGTTGGAGTATCATTTCACAAAGTAACATTCACAGCATACAATCACATGGTTCATAGGAAGAAAGACTAATTTATACTCACACTCAAAATGGTATCACTTCCAGATTGAACAGGGACATGAAGAAAGGAATACACACATGGGTGGCACAAAACTTCAACTATTCTTTCAAGTGCTCTAGTATATAAGGAGGATTAGTCATATTCCATCATGGTCTCTTCCTAATTTCAATAGTGGAACAGTCTAATGTAAATGAAGTTGGGCTGAGGAGGAGCCAAAACATTTTTTATACGTGTCCAATAATACTAGTTTTCTGTACGCAAGACCAGGAAAGAACAGTGCTAAATACCATATGCTCCAGTGTCTTCACTACTTAACCAGATCTCCCTTGCTCCATCAGCTATGAAACTTCTGATACGACCCACCTACAATATCAACTTGGTAAAAGAATTTTAAAAAATAACTAACATTTCAAGTCTGTCTGGTCAAAAGCTTACAAGCTGTCAACTGTATAGCTTCCTAAATGACCACGAGCATGCTTCGTCTTGCAACAATTGCCAGCACCTAAACAACTAACATTGATAGGAAGGATCTCAACAAAATTGTTCTTTCTCACCTGATGGAGAAAATAGCTAAAATGGCTTAGAAATCAAATTAATAAATGAATTCTTCAATCCGATAAATAATAAAACAATCTGAACTCTGTCAAGCACTTTATACAATATACTACAGCGAAAAGTAATAAAACCACAACATACAACTATCACACCTTTGGGAGGTCAAGTGCTGGTAATGTCTTCCGGGTCAGAAGCCGCACCTCATGACCTTTCAAAGTCTCTTCCACAACTTCTACTACACGGTCAATTTGCTGAACTCCAACTATACTTACTCCTTCCAGCTATTTCAAATCACGACTTCCTTGAGGCACACAGCCTGTATTACAGCAATCAAATATTTCATATTACAGCAATCAAGGAATACAATCACAAAAATATTTTATTTCCTTTTACACCTCATTTCCATATTTCATTTACCATGTTTACAATAGATTTGTACATATAAAAGTATATCACTATCATTGTAATTGACGTGAGTTAAACATAAAGGAATTCACCTTCTTTTTTGCTGTGAATTAGTTTTATTATGGTATCAGAGCGGTTCCTTCCCTGTGACCTCCTCTAAATTTCGCCAGCATCAAAACACCAGGAATCATGTCCGACTCCACATCCACCCCTTCCCAATTAATCAATGACCTCACATCTCCATATTTTTTAACCCCGGCCGACAATCCCGGAGCCATACTTGTGCCGGATCTTCTCACAGGAGAAAATTTTTCAACTTGGAAACGCTACATGCGAATGGCCTTGAACGCTAAAAACAAACTTGTTTTCGTCGACGGAACTCTAAAGAAACCGTCGGACGCACCAATTGCCAACCTATGGAATCGTTGCAGCGACATGGTTCTCTCTTGGTTATTGAACTCGATCGATAAATCCCTTTGGGAGAGCTTGATTTATTGCACACTGCCATCTGAAATCTGGGCAGATTTGGACAACCGTTTCTCTCAAAGCAACCATCCTCACCTCTACCGTCTCCAACGTGACTTGGTTAATCTCAAGCAGAATACCATGCCCGTCACCACCTACTACAATACAATCAAAGGGCTTAGGGATGAACTCACTGCAATAATCGAACCCAACACCTGTACTTGCGATGCCCGCAAAAGGTTGGGAGAATCCGTCAACATTGAACGGCTATTCCAATTTCTCATGGGACTCAATGACT